TAACTTAGGAGTTGAAAGATCTACACTTAAAACTGTAAGACATTGGTAAAAGAAAACCACAGCATCCCAGATAAATGACGAATCAAGCGTTTACATATTAAAAAATTTAATACTGCTAAAATGTCAATACCATCCATAACTATCTATAGATTCAAAGGAGTCCCTCTCAAAAATCCCATTTTTTGAAAGAGAAATAGAAAAAAATCTTAAAATTTGTATGAAAATATAAAGGAATATTAAAAGTAATCATGAACAACAAAATGCTGGAGGCTTTGAACTACCTAACTTCAAAATATATTACAAAGCTAATAGTTATTGAAATAGCATGGTATTGGCATAAATACAGACACATAGTTCAATGAAACAGAAGAGATCCTAGAAATAAATCTTTGCATTTATAGTTGATTGACCTTTGGCAAAGGTTCCAGAGCACACATTGGGCAAATTACAGTATCTTCAATAAATGGTATTGATAAAAATGGATATTCTTCATGGAGAAAAATAAAATTAGACTATTTTCTCACACCAGATGAAAAATATCAACTTAAAATGGACTAAAAGTTTAGTGTAAAACCTGAGACTGTAAATCTACTATCAGAAAACAAGGGAAAAGCTCCATGATATTAATCTAGGTCATCAACTTTTGAATGTGACCCCAAAAGCATGAACGATGAAAGCAAAAACAGAAAAAAAGGGGGTTACATCAAACTAAACAACATTTGCGCAGCAGAGAAAACAATCAATAGAGCAAAGAAACAACCTATAGAATGGGAGGAAATTATTGTAAGCCAAAACAACCATGTATGATGTTGTAACCCCTCATCATTTGATGAGGGGTTAATATCTAAAATATATAGCAAAAAAATAAATTTCTCAATAAAAAAAAGACAAAGGACCTAAATAGATATTTCTCAAGCAAGACATACAAATGACCAATAGTTACATTAAAACATGCTCAACATCACTAATTATTAGGGAAATTAAAATTAAAATCACACGGTAAAGAATAAAAATCATAAACAACAGAAGAAGCATTACAACTGATGCCAGAGAAATAAAAAGAATAATGAGACTACTAATACTATAAACAATTTATGCCATACCATAGAGATTCAGACTATGTAATGGTGATTAAGATGACTGGTTTTCACATGACCACCTGCACAGTTTGAGTCCTGGATCAGAAAACTTGAGAAACATGCCATACACATGTGCATGAGTGCAAAAAATTCCAAAATGAGGGATAAATAGAGGAGAAGGGATTGCGGAATGAACCATTCCTTATTGGGGGATGCTTTCTCACTTTCATTCTGTCTCTCCCTCTTTCTTTCTCTGTCTTTTTTTCAGCAAGTGCATGTGGCCTCTGGCAAATAAAAAAAAAAATCACAGTGAAATACCACCTCACAGCTATCACATAACTATTATTAATAAAGAAAAGCATTGGTTAGGATATGGAGCAATTTGGAACATTGTACAACATCATACATGGTTGGTGTAAGTGTAAACAGATGCAATCACTATGGGAAGCAATATGGAGGTTCCTTAAAGAACTAAAAATAGAACTACTATATTATCTCCCAATCCTACTTCTGAGTATTAATCTAGAGGAAATAAAATGTCAAAGAGACATCTATGCTTCCATGTTCATTATCTTTATAATAGTCATGATATGAAAACAACTTATGGGTCCATCAATGGATGAATGAGTAAACAAAATGTGATATACACACACACACACATATATATATATATATATATATAGATATATACACACATGCACACAATGGAATAATATTTAGCTTTACAAAAAAGAGGAAAATAGTGTCCTTTGCAACAATATGGACTAACCTGGAGATCAGCCACATTATTTATTTTTTTTGGAGAGGTTTTTGCTATAGGGCGCATGCACTCACCAGACAGACAGAGAGAGACAGAGAGAGACAGAAAGCTAGAAATCATCCCCCAGGGGGGATGGCCATGCCGCAATCCCTTCTCCTTCTTTCTCCTCTTGGGATCTTGGGCACGTACGCACATGCACCCGGAGGGCATGAGTTTTTAAGCCACCGGGTCCGTGACGCGAACCATGGTTGACTACATGGGAGTCCAGAGACATAGCCATTACGCTAACTGCTGGTCTCATCAGCATGTTAAGTGAAATAAGAATGGAAGACCGCATGAATTCACTTAGGTATGGATTCTGAAAAAGCTTGATTTCATAGAAGCAGAGGGTAGAATGGTGGCTACTAGAGGGTAGAAGGTGAAGAGATTGGGAGACTTTGATAAATAATTACCCATAAATCTATATTCAGATTATTCTAATGTGTTCCCAGGATGAGGTACTAGTAAATCAGAATAAAAAAAAGCAGGCCAGTGGGAGACATGGTGGTTAAGGTGCTGGACTTCCACATGGCTGACTACAGTTCAAGGTCCAGACCTACTGGCTTGCTTTCTCACTTTTCCTTCTTTTCTGTCTCTCTCTTTGAATCTTTCTGGTGAGTAAATGTGCCCTATAGAAAATTAAAAATAATAATAAATAAAATTAAATAATTAAAAAACGTTAAAAAGAAGACAAATAATTTGGGCATGGGACAAAGAGGTGAAGATATTTTCATTCAGTTTTTAAAAGTATTTATTGACCGGATATTGGGTGTATACCAGATTGGTGTTGAATATATATATGCACATACACACGAATCAGGCTTTGACAGATTAAGTATCTCTGCCAGGTTATAATAATGTTAACTGAAAAGTAAATATGCAGAGTGATAAACACAATATTAGATTGTATTTATAAGTTAAAAGACTAAGTGAGTTCCTTTAAAAGGATTCAGAGGCCAATAATTACAAGAATGTGCTAGATCTTTTCCATAGTGATATGTGAATAGAATTTAAAAAAATCAAGTTGAACAAAGCCATTTTCACAGAAATACATACTATAATGATAGCAATTGCATAAAAACATATACCAATTTCAAAAATTTCCAGTGAAATATATATATATATATATTCTAAAATATTCATGTAAAGTATTGATATTTGAGAACTATGAATGGATTTCAAACATTTTTTGTACTAAAATAAACTTGTACTTTAATTCCTTTTTCTCATGAACATTTTGAAGTCCCTCATATATATGTATATGTGTGTGTGTGTGTGTGTGTGTGTATGATTAAGGCCTGGGGAAGATAGATACCAAAATTATAATGGCAGTTTTTTAAATGTAATCTAATTTAAAAAAATATTAAAGTATTGCTTGAAAAATTATAAATCAATAAAAACAAATGAGAGGTGTCAGACTAAGTGAAGACAAGCATTAGTCATAACTTCATTTCTGGATTAAGGATAGAAATAAAGCTTAGCTCAGCAGATCTAGCTCTTGTCTCCTTTTAAGAAGTACTGATGGTTGCTGAAGTTCTGATTATGGTGAGCATTTGTAGAACCATAATCAGAATAATAAGATAAAAAGAGCAATAAAGAGACAGTTGTCAGTGAGGGGTGATGGGAAGAACTGATGAGTAACATTTGGGTATCAGATTAAGATTAGGCAATATCTTATTCATTGTGGAATCACTTTCTGTAGACACTTTAGAAAACCAAATTCATGTGGTGAAGTCAAGTCCTTGTAAATTTTATTCTTTATGTCATTGAAGTTTTATGTCTCCTTTTAAGTTCAGGTGACAGGTGACAGTCTTTGAAGAAGATCAGCAAGACCTAGAAGCAGGACTTAAAATAAAAGTACAAGTGCCTAATAACTCTTAGCTTTTCCAGGGTCTTCTAAGTGGTAGAGAACAACACTATGTAACTCAGCCTCTGCCCCTGCCAACCTTAATCCTTGTTGTCATCTTGCACTTATCAACTTCCTTGTGCCAGTCACTGACCCAGAGTCTGAGAGATTGGATAGATACATGAGTGGATGGGGAATTAACTGAATTAATCAATAGATGAAACCCATGGACATTACACACAAAACTGGCATTATAGAACTAATGTCATTCTGGAGGCAGTCAATGGATAACTAGCTGATTCTCATTACTAAACTTGAAAATCCTGTAAAATTTATCAGGAAACCCACTGACAATATATATGGTTTGTAATGAATCTTTTCCCCCTAATTATGAACACCTTTCCCCCCCAAAAATATGTGTGTATTTGTTATATTATTGATGTGCTGCTAAGTTAGATCGCTATTTTTTTTTTGTAAATGCAATAAATGTTTCTTCAGCACATATAATGTGCTAGGTTCTGGAGGTATAATAATATGCAAAACATGTATGACCCTGAATTTCACAGAATTTGTCATCTTGTTGGGGGCTTGATCTCAAATGTAAGTAAGATGCAGAATGATAATGGCTCTACAGGAGAATAAAGATAGAAGAACTGTTAGAGGACAGAGGCAGGACCTAGGGAAAACATACGTAGTGAAGAGACAGCTATGTATGAAACTGAAAAAAGAGTAAGACATAATCACGAGAGATAAGGGACATTCCAGGCAGAATAAATGCTGTTCAAAGGACTCGAATGAGACAGAACACAAGTGTGAGGAATTGGGCTTGTAGAATGCCCAATGTATGAAAGGGAAACTGAGATTATCAGTGTCAAGTACAGGGTCTTGGGCTTTATCCTAAGTACAAAACGTAGACTAGAGGGGTTTCCAGCAGAAAAGAGATGATATAAGCAAGGGAGACTAGGTAGGAGGCTATCGAGGTATTTATGATGAGAAAGCATAGTAAAGCCAAGGGAGTGGGCTTTAGCCACAGTCTTTATTAGTCTGCCCCAACCATTTCAGGTAAAGTGGTGTGTTTGCTATGCAACCTCAAGTTCGAGTTCACCAGATCCTCTTCTGGCCATATTTCTCTATTTCCAGCTACATTTACTGATCTTTGAGGTAGTGTTGAGTCTTTGAATAAAATAGTGGACATGAAGAAGTATGTTTAAAAATGCATTTCATATATTTAGCCTTATGAAATTTGTAAATACGAGGACTGTATTCTTATTTGTAGAACTATATTAAGTGTGCGGAAAAATTATATAATGCCAAAGTGGACCGAGTTGACTTTACAAGTGACATAGAAGATACAACATATAAAATTAATAAATGGATTGAAAATGAGACAAATGGTGAGTGCATATCCTATTTTTCTACAAGATTTGTTAGTTTTATGTGAGTCCTAGGGACTATGGAAATCTTTTCTACATATGAGGGGCCTGCAAAACATTTGTGGAAGGCCAGCCCTGTATACCAGTGGTTGGATCAGCCAGGCCCCACATGGCCAGCTCTGCTGAGAATGCCAGAACCAAGGCTTGGGAAACACACTGGGCATGTATGGGTGTGTGATCAAAATCCTGACATAATGAAGAAATAGAGCAGAAAGAACTGGCATAACCACTCTGCACTAGGATGGTGCTTTGTCACTCCACCCCCTTTCTATATGGTGGGAGCATGTACCCTCTGGCAACGATAATAAAAAAGTTATGAAAAATGTGTATTGTAAAAAAAACTGTATAGATTTCAAGATTTGTTTCAAAATCAACTTGTACTTTAATTCAATTTTCTCTCAAACTTTTTTAAGGTTTTTGCCATAGCACATATGTGTTTGCTGGAAAGAAACAGAGAGACAGTAAGAAGGGAGGTGAGAATTCACCCCCCACGAGACAGGGCCACACTGCAATCCCTTCTCCTCTATACTACGCCTAGGATTTTGGACACACAAACATATGTGCCTGGTGTGATTTCAAACCACTGTGTCTGGGATTCAAATCACAGTTTACCATATGGCAGTCTAGTGACATAACCACCGTGCCACCTGCTGGCCCCTTACCAACTTTTGAAGTACTCTCATATAAGAAATAGTTCTGCCTATTCTAAAGTAAACATTATTGTTATTTAAAAATGCTTTAGTATTTGTCTGCATGTAGTTCTAGGTAATTTTAATAATTTGAATGTTTTGGACTTTTCAGTCATTCTGTCTTTAACATTATTTCAGTTGATTGGGAAACAACCCTATGAAAAAGATATTATTATGACCATTTCATAAATTAATAACAAACTGAGAAAATTTAGTCAATTAAACTCAACTCAGTATTGCACATCCAGTTAATGGACAAAAACTAACAGTGATTTATAGAACAGAGTTTTCAGTGACTACAACATAATATTTCATTCTAATGTTTAATCTACTTTTAAAGGATTGTGTTGATTTTAATATCTTATTCCTTCTTGGACCAAATCTTATTAGGATATTATATTCTAATACCTAAGGAATATATTTTAATCTTATTTTATTTTCTAAATGATATATATTGTATCTTTCATAATAAAATCATCATTTAGCAGAATAATATGCAAAAAGTTCATGGAAAATGTATATTACGAAAAAACCTGTGGGTATTTCAAAAACTTTTGTGACAAAATTAACTCACACTTTACTTCCACTTTCCACAAGCTTATTGACATTCTCATGTATTTGTCAAACAAGGGCGGTACTTTCCCAAAAAAGTATATCTCTTTATTGGTAACTCTTTCATAGCTAGAGACTGAATTCCAGCTAATATTCTGGTTTAGTACAAAACAAATTAGGAAATTTATTCATCTTTGTTTTGTTATTCATCAGCCGATTTCAAAGCTAGCAGTTGTTCGGGAAGTTCTTGGCCTCTCTTCTTGTCCTTAGTTCAAGCAGATGGCCCCTGAATCTGTGTTCCCAGAGCACAGTGATCACATGGCTATACCAGTGTGATACAATTTGCTTTCTTCTCTGTTGACTTCCTAGTGCAAGACTGTGAGTCCTTCAATGGCAAGGACTATGTTTTCTATTGTTACAATTCAAATGCCCAGAGTAGTGATCTGGAATCTAGCAAAAATCTCACTAATGTGGGATAAATAAAGGAATTAACCTTTTCAGCAGAATGGAGTTAAATTATACTTGGCATCCTGCAGTAACCAGAAGTGGCCTATTCAGTACAGTAAGACAGTTACTCCAAGATTTGTCTTCTTGGGTCTGAATCGTATTGCCATAGATTTCTTGTGGCTTCAGTTTGTAAAAGTTATTTAATCTTTCCGGGTTTCAGCTTCTTCAGCA